ATTTTTGAACGCCCTTCTGAAACGGAGTTTATTACGTTTCATGTACCCGAATCGAACCTCCACTCGAGTTCCACCGAGCCAATGATAACGCTAAGTCATTTTGCATATAATTGTAAAATATTTTATTTGGAGCAAAATAAAGTACCATTGATGGATTCTCATATTTGTTAAAGATTTTTTAAATATTCTAAGTTATTTTTTAAAATAAAAAGTTTTGAATATCCAGATATATAAAAAATATTGATATCTGCATTAAGACTCGCTCAGGTTTGATTTGATAAATAAACTATCTACTTTGCTAATGTGTGATCTCAGATAAAAATGACAATCAGAATTATCAATTTCATTTTAAACAAATACAACGGCAGATCTAGTAGCTGTCTCACCCCACACCACCACAGGAAAAAATATTACAGCTCTTATATAATTAATTATGATTTTAAAAGTCACGAAAAAACTCCAAGTTGCCAAGAATTTCAAAATGCGACACCCTTTCCAAATAAGTTTCTGCCATTGTTTTTGTTTCATTTTAACCATAAGGTGTTGAGAATTTCTTCCACATTTAATACGACATAAAATTCAGGCAGTTATTACTTGGAAGAAAAAAAGACATTTTTACTGTGTTTTGCGAGAAATTATCACAAGCAGTTTGTCAACATTTAACAGCAACCAATACGTTCAAATATTCTACATACAGATACACTTCAACGGGGAATGTTAAAAAAATAATCCCCTAGAGACATTGATTATTGAAAAAAAAAAAACATTTTGCCATTTAATTGCAACATGTGTAATTATCAAACCTAGGCAAAATGGAGGGACAAATCACGGTATTACTTATAACTCCTTGCATTCATATTCAAAGTCGAAATTTTGTAACAGATATTTTGTAACTTTCTGAACATAAATAATGATCTCATACAAAAACGTGAGCATAATTTCTGCAGCTCTATTTACTGAAGGTGCTTCTGAGATAGAATTGTTAAAAAGCAGAGTTTTGAAAAAAGGAAACTTTGGATCACATGACTGTCCCCTCCATCTTAATGCAAAACTGAGATCTGTTCCACAAATTAATGCAATAAATGCAAGTCATAATTAAAAATTAATTACAAAAAAATATATATTGCACATACTACTCACCTTAACTTAAGAAAAATCGGTAATATTAAGATTACAATCCAGATGAGCAAATTTAGATAAATAACAAAAATCGTTTAATATATCCATGTTCTTTTTATGCACAGAATAACCGGTAGACTTGGATTAGCCAAATCGGTTTTCAACTACATGTAATTTTCTCAAATTGAGTCTTCAATGTGTGGACTTTACATACTCCATTACTCAAAATAAATGATAGATTGTGGTCCGTAAATTGACCTTTTTCACTCAACAAGACAGCAAGTTTCCAAGCTTTAAAAGATTATATAGATACGAGTTTAAAGCAACTAGTTTTTAAGTCCTCCTTGCTATGGAGATAAAGACTTGTGAATTTCACACTTGGCGATAGAATAATAGAAATGAACCCCGATGGGTTTTTCAGATCTTAGTTTTTGAAACGGTTTTTGGATAAAATAAACCTAAAGAGAAAATTGCTGAAATGTCCAGATTTTTTTAGCTTTGGTAAACCGCATTGCATGCCTTCAAAATTAAGAATTTAATTCCAGGAGCGAGTGAAAATATTGTAAATGGTAAGTTTCGAGTGACGAGCAAAATGCTCGCTATTTAGAAAATAAAAAATCTGAAAAATTGTAATCTTATGATAGAATTTGTCAACGAAGCATTCAACAATTTTAAAAACAAATTGAAATGATTATGCATTATTTGTAAGATCAATAACTTAAGACTGCTTCAGTATGATTTATTTCTCTTCAAAGCATATTAAAGGACGTGAAAAAGTAACATAAATCACCAAATGTGCAAAATTACAAGAACAGTTTTCAAGGTAGGTTTTTTCGTCTTTGAAAATGTCAAATTGAGCTTCAGTTTTCCTGGACTAGAAAAAGAAGTTTTCCGTAATTTTGAACATTGTGTTAACATTGAAATAAACATCAAGTCACAACTTGCTGCCTTGCTGAATAATACCGCAAACAGTTTTACAAACGTCACGGAGGCAAACTCAGACTTATAATTATAGTTAAACACGTTAAACGGCATAAGGGGCGGTTTTATTCTTTATCAAAATAAAATAAGTTCTGATACTAATGACTACGTAGTGTTAAATATGCTGCGTTTTGATTTTTTTTTTTTACAAAAGGCTCTACATTTTGGAGGTTAAAAATACATCGTAAATTGCTTTGGACAAAGCGTTTTGATCAGGCAACGTGATAGTGACATTAGTCATAAATGAGAAATACCAAATTTACGTTTAAACATTACTTCCAAATTGGCACTAACAATTCGCCCCCTATACCTTGAAAATGGCTGCTTTCATAATCAGTCACACAGAAAGCAGTGCAGCTACATGTATTAACTAGGTCACATACTTCAATGGATCGAAATATTACATATTATGGCATTATTTGTCAAATCATGCCGAAATTCGAAATGGAAATATAAAACTTAACCTTTATCCTGTTCTTTAATTTTCAATTGTGACTATTTTGTTGTACTATTGATATAACACACAATCTTATTAAAAACCACTTACTTAATTTCAACAGCCAAAATTTTTAAAGAGCCACTCCATAGAATTTTCCCCATCTTGACTATTTTGCATGTAAAACTTTACTGCCACTACTAATTCTACTGATGTAGTTTAAAATTCTGTGTAGTTAACATGAGGCACAACTGCAAATTTGCACTGTCATGAAGTACGTGACGAAATAAAGAAGGGATGGAGGACACAAAATATCACGTGGGGAAAATACTGATGGATGGCAAAACCCAACATCATCAAAGCCATTTTTTAAATGCATCAAAGATAATTTTTCGACATATACCCAAATCCATTGTCTTAGAACGTTTCGTTGAATCGGTTAAAACTAAAATATCCATATACTTAGTATCTTGGCCGCCTCGCATCCACACCCTGGTCACTCAGAACTGAAGAAGATGTGACATCTCTTCCAAGGGTTCAGGTTTCAAATGACCCATCGGGGTAGTAGGTAGGAAGAGCTAGGTGACCGCCCTTTCAATTTATCAATTACCATAATTTGACAGATAAAATTTGATTAACAATGTACTAATATAACATTGCACAGGAAGCTTTTGTTTCTCACATATTTCGAAAATATTCTAGACTAAGTTAATTAAATTAAGCCTCATACCCTTACACACCCCAAAGTAAAATGGCATTATGTAGGTCACAAGCTATCCTTATATGGTCTTCTATATGCTGCAATATGAGCAGTTTTTGCCAGGTTTGACAAACGAAACCGCCATCTGGAGGGGAACAGAAATTATCTTCTCTGTTGCAATCGGTAGCTTAACAGATTGTTTAAGTGTGTGTGTGTGTTTGTGTGTGTTTATGTGTGCGCACGCACTTGTGCGTGCTCAATCTTCAGCACCACAGAAATGGTGATAATAATGCAATTCGATCTGGTATATATACAAATAAAGTCATTTACGAGAATAACACCAACAGTGCATTTTATCTACAAACTGTACGGGCATCATCTCTGCTCTCGGTCAGCTGACATTTTGATTTGTTAATTATATGAATCCAATAAATAAATAAATAAATAAATAAATAAATAAATAAATAAATAAATATATGCTACTGTAATTGTATGAATCCCAAAACCATGTAAAACGGCCTTAATACACTACACTAGTGTACCATAATGTAATGATGTAATGATAAAAAATAAACTTCATGGTGACAGAGAAAGCGGGGACTGCAGACAATACCGAACGGACCGTGAAAGATTCATATTTCTTACCTGTTTGGGGCAGTAGGATAGCCGTAACACTAAAACATTATCTGTCAAAATTCATAATATCGGTGCAACCTTCCGCATCCCCGAGACTGGCAGGAGCAACCACGAAACAACTATTTCGAACCATGGATAAAATAGCGTTAGATTTACAGAGAATGCTACCCCTTCATACAGAATCTATTCAAAAGAAGCACCTTGCACCAAATCCAACAACAAAAGTTTCAGGATGGAAAACCATTTATTTAGAAGTACTGGGAGAGGCGATCAAGGCCTGCCTTTGTTGTTAAAATGAAGACATAACAGCATTTATTTTGGAAATATGGGCCCCATGCCAGCAAAAAGGCCACTAACACAACAGTGGTTATTAGAACTCCACAAAAAATACGATCAATAAATCATAAATCTAAAAAAGAAAGACCTCTTTTCTTGGATAGAAGTAGGAGGTGCAATAGCGGTTCCCGTCTTGAATAAACTTGTATCGAATAAAACTAAAATATTACTACTTGGACGGCCCGAATTCTTGGATTAAGTAGGCAGCCAACACTCTTAAATAAAGGAAGAGATATTGTCAAAGAAAAAAAAATCAATGATACGGAAATCGTATATCTCCCGCAAGGTACAAAGCGATGTCTATACTGGAATTACTGCGTTCCTTAGTGGGGGTGTCACAGTTATTACGCTATTCGTTGGTTAAGTGCTGGAATGAATTGCTTACCAAATGATGCGTTATGCATGTTGTCACTAACTGATGCAAAATATATTTAAATAATTCTGATTTGGTCAGAAATCCTCAAGATCGCCTGTCGCATTATAGATGGCGGGGAAAAATGCCCATTTGGATTCGTTTTAAGAATGTTAAATTTTGAATGTCACCATTTCTCACAACACCTTGTAGTCCTTACATGAAATGAAAATATGGACCCCACTTTGTAAAATGAAATTTTCATCCAGAGAAATATTTATGAAATAGCATGCAGGGATCAGAGGGAAATATTCATCCTCCTTACTTGCTATAAACGGTAATAAAACCACCAAACAGTACTTTTAGATTGTTAAAACCAGACATGAGAATAGTTTTCAAAAAAAAAAAAAAAAAAAAAAAAAATTATCCACCCAAGATTTTATTACAGATCTTGACGAATCTCAGGAACCATCAGAATTGAAATAAAAAAACGCGAAATTCCGCGTTCCCGCGGAAAAAAAACTCATCTCTGAAAATCACAATGGACTATTAAAACTTTGTATATGTTATTACATTATCTTTAATCCAGTTGTAGTATATCACAGTTAGAAAGCAATTGGAAGTTGTAGCTATATTTAACAATGGAAACGATAATTTATCTTTGTGTCACTATCCAATAGGAAGAAATTCTAAGCCACATTTTTCTCATCTATACTCCAGGAGGCCACTATCCACAAGCAGTAAAAAGCTCTTGTTGATAACTCTGTAAAATGCACAAATTATGTATAATATTATTTAAAACTTGCCTTAAAATATCTTTATACATCCACAGAAAATGCAAGCATCAATAAATTCTTCGATCAAATAATTTGCTATGATAGAATACAGAAACAATGCTTTGTTTTATCAGTTGTGTAGGGTTTGAGAATTGTGCTTTTTAAGTTGCAAATGTCCTACATAAAATGAGTGGGCTTTTATGTACAAATACAGACTAGAAGTGCAAATTGAAAAAAATATTGTGGTGACTGTGTAAGAGTGACTTCCAAACGACATTTGATTGTGCTCCAGACACAGACTAAAACATATCTTGTGTTGAAAATGTTGATGTTATAAAAAATGAAATGAAATATTTACTATGACTAGAAAATGCATTCTTAAATGGGATAAAATTGCATGTGCATCACATGATCTAATGTATACCATAAGTTTCATTTGAGCCCATTGTAATGTTGCATACCCCAAAAACAAATTTCACCATTCCTTACTAGGTTTTAAAACTAAAAAGCATGTGTCCAAAATGTACAAAGCATCCAATGATAATTTAAAATATAACAATTTAGCTAAACAATAATTTTGTATTTTTTCCATACTTGATAAACGAGCATCATTTACGTCCACCAGAACCACACAGCTCATGGAATCAATGTATGAAACCCTTTATCTTTTTCAATGTACAATTACAATTTAATTATATTTTATACATTACAAACTCATCTTAAATATACAAGCCAAATATATCAACAACCAAAATCATACCTTCGTCACCACCTTAATTTATACTATATGTACTGAATGTTGAACCTAAACTGCCTACTCTCTCCGTTTAAATGTATGTACTCCTGCAATACCATCACAATGTTTGCTTTCCTTTCACTAGATATAACATTTCTTTTTGTTAAGTTCAGTCGTCAGATGAAACCAGTTCCTCTTTTTCTCTGACTGACTCCGTCACAGCTACATCTGGTTCTGTTTCCTGGCTCTGAGCATTCAAGTTGTTGTCTTCGGGTTCCTCAACTTGGGAGCGGGCTTCACTTTCTGTTCCTGGTTCTTCTTTGTTGCTCTTCTCACTATTGGGGCTTTCCTCACTGAAAAGTTTTCAGTTTAAAAACAAATTATAGAAATTTTCTCTTTTTAACAGTTTTGTTATATTTTGTTATTTATACAACAAATTATAGGTTAAAAAGAGAGAAAAGAAAAGAAAAGAAAAAAAGAACAGAAAAAAACTTCAATTGATAAGAAAAACTTTGTTAAAACCCCCTTCCCCAATACATTAAAAAAAAAAAAAAAGCTGATTGAATGTTTTCACTTACTTTCCACTTTGTGGCTCATTTGCTTCAACAACTTCTCCAGAACTCTTATTCCCTGGTTCACTGTCAGTGTTTTTAACACTTAGTTCCTCAGATATCAAATTATCGGTTTCATTTTGCTGTAGTTCTCCATTCTCTAAACCCAAGGAATCCTGTTCTTCCTCATTCTCTTTTTCTCCAGCATTTTGTGAGTCCTCCTTTGGCTCTACTTCTTGAACAACGTCCTGCAAGTTTTCCTCCTTGACTGCAGCATTCTCTCCTTCAACATCAACTTTTTCTGTCAAATCATTTTCAATTTTTAATGCTTCCTCTTGAGTGACTTCAGACTGATCAACGTCATGAGCACTTTCATTTGTTGTCCCATTAAACTCGCTTTTGTCACTTTTTTCACCTTGTTCATTACATATAGCTTGGTCACCATTTTCCCCTCCCAAACCCTCTTGTCCACTTTCGTGTGCAGCCCCTTCTTCTGCAGCATCCTCCATGCCTCCACTTCGTGAAGTTAAAGGTGAATTTGGCCTGTTTGGCGGACTGCTGCCATCTTGAAGCTCATGACCTGTGGACATAAAATAGTGCCATTTAAATGTTAAAATCAAGCACAGGCCTGATGAACTAATAATACCAACTGATTAATAGCTAGGCCATATTTTAATTCCTTTCATTATTTATAATATGTAAGTTAACCCTAGGAAGGAAAGTTTGGCCACAAATGAAATAGATGCAGAATTGTCTGTATAAATAATAACTTTTATGTTATTAAAATCATTGATTATATTATAATATTTAAGATAATTAGTTTTACTGAACATTTTTATATCTATTCTAATCCCTAGGGTCATAAAATTCAATCCTGGCAATAAATTTTTACAATGTCACAGTAATATTTCAGCAAGTTCATCAGGAGGGTTAAATGTATCTTATAAAAGTGGCCTTGATAAGCAAAGTCTTGAACAAACAATATAATATGGTATGGATGATGGTGTGAACGTCTGTGGTAATTTCAGAAGGAGACTTAAAAATAAAGATCATTTAAAAATATTACGTATCTTTTCGGGTTATTTACTGACTTATCATACTTCAAAGCACCATTTTTAGTCTAAACTAAAGTGACTGTCTGCCTCCATGTTCTGTGTGATCAGAAATTATTTTTGTGCCGGCTGCAACCTTAAGACAAAATCTTTCACAATTCGAAACAAACTTTTGCCTGATCTGTGGCTAAAATTAAATGATAACTATATTTTCAGATAAAAAAAATGCTCTCTGCATAGCAGTTTGTCTTGTATTAAATACAGTAGCTGAAAAGAAATTCTCAGAACAAAATTTTGTTATTAACTAACCGGAGTCCTGTGTTATAAAGGTTTGGTCGACAGCTACCATATGTTTGCCTGTCACCGTCATCTTCGGTAAATCACTAGCTGATGAGGACTGTTGTACCGCCTGAAACAAAATATAAGAAAAACACGTTAAATTTTGAAAAAATTTTCATTTCTTTACTAATGTGTGGGGTTTTCTATCCCTACTTATTAAAATTAATGTCAATAATCATATACATTTTTGACTCCAAATGAATTTTCATTAACTTAAACAACTTACACTCAATTTGAAGTCACTTACATTTGGAAGTGTTTAATTATAATTTTGTGTATAATTATAATTTTGCATTACACAAACATGCTCATGGATTGAATATTCTAACAAAGGGTGCAATTATTCTCATGCAGTGCTTCCTTTGGAAAATATTCAGAGTTTTAATGTTTATTCCATTTCTAAATCATTTCCCTAATACTACATTGTAAGGTTTAAAGCAAACAAGATCCCATATGTGCTTCAGTAAAACATTACTAGACAAAAATAAAGTGCTTTCAAGAAATGAAATGCTAATTAATATACATGAAGGCTGCATTCAAGAACGTTCTGACAAAAAATTTAAGGATGTGAGTGTCACAAGAAAGCTGTCTAAATTTTTAGACCAAGATTGATAAATCCATTGTACTGTAGAGCACACATGAATTAAATAAGTATTGGTTTGAAACATTACCCATGGCTTTTCCAAATTATAAAATCAGCACATTTTATCTATCTTATATATTATTTCACAGGGCTCATACTGATTTATCTCTGACAGAGTAGACCAAAATTTTGGTATAAAAACTGGCCAATTTTGAGCTTAAGTTCTTTTGTAATACTGGCTAGTCCTAAAACTTAAATAATAAAACCATTTTCAGGCCCGTAGCCAGGGGGGTTCGGGGGGTTCGAAAGAACCACCCTTTTTGCTGGGAAAAGGTCCACTCTGGGTAAAATTTGATCTAGGTACATGAAGTTTTTATAGTAAAAGGTCCACTTTTTCAGAAAAAGAACCCCCCTTTTGAAATTGCTGCATGACTACGGGCCTGATTTTGAATGCTGCCTTATACCAGGTCCCATGCAAAATACAGTATAGGTCTATAGGGGGCTCTTACCCATAAACCTGTAGGTTCCAAGTTTCAAAATAAATATAAATAACTACAATGTTATTTGTCAACATTGTACAGTAAACAACAAAAATTACAGTTAGTAAAAAGATTAGTACACATAACATTTTTGCCTGCTATTACAGATTACTAAGATTTCATTGCAATGTTAGCCTACAGTACAGAGCCACAAGTAATTTCTAATTGCTTAATTAAAGACAATTATTAACTTAAAGTTATAAGTTTCTTATCAAAATAATTTAGAAATAATACCCATCTTTGTTTGTTTCTAACATTTCTCATGCAAGCATATAAAATCTGCCTTATCTTTGTCTTTGATTTGCAAATGGTTATAACTGATTGCCTATCTATGAATGACATATTACTGTGTTGTGAGCCAACTATAGATGTCAGCACCTGCCAGGAGGCTTACTTACCTCTGTAGTCTGCTCCCCTGTGTGAGGTGTGTAGTGGTCGCCTCTGGAAATCAGAAAATTTGTTTTCATCTTTTGTGTTTATAGCAGAATAAAGAATGAATGAATGGGTGAAAACACAAATTTTGTACACATACAAACACACATACACACATACTAAAAGAACCTTCCAACACACAACACAAACACACTCACAACACAAGTGCGACATGCATGCAAATATGTGCATACCTGTATGTACATGCATGAGCATACACACACGCACACATGTGGACTTACTATATGAACTTTCCCAACACCTTCATAAGTCTCCTACTTCATCTATATTTTTAGGCCACATCAGTAGCCACTCATGCATAATTTAACACATGCATGTGCACACACACACATACACACACACACACACACACACACACACACACACACACACACGACTTAGTATATCACTACTGCCATGACACACTTTCAGAACACCTCCATAAATGTAAGTCTCCTACTTCATCAATATTCCTAGGTCACACCAGTTAACCACTCATGCATAACTTAACACTATTTCCAATTAAAATAACACTGGATAGGTCACCACTGACTAAATGTCACAAGTATTTTTACAGAAGGAACAAGAAAAAGTCAATGTTGCTGGGTTTTTCTGATGAGAAGACATTGATGTTATTTGTCATTATCAGGACTTAATAAACCATGATCTTGCATGACGCATCAAGCACTGAATGTGATAAACATTTTATTTATTCAATTGATCATTTTTTTTTGATAAAGAGCCAAGAATAACAAAGAGATTAGTAAATATTTTTTTCTTCTGTTTACAGAGCCCTGTACTGAATACAAGTCAACAGGCCTAAATGAAGTCTTAAATTAATAATATACAAAATCCAATAGCGCACACAAGTGCCATAACCTTACCTCAGAGCTCTATTATAATGCATTGATCGTACGCGTGCCAGCTCGCGCAATCGTTGTAGCTCTGCCTCATCTACATCGTACTTGTGTTTAGTGTGCAAAGCACGTCCCTGCATGTAATACATGCGGTCCACACGATGGGAGTGAACCTGGGCCTGAAATATTTGATACAAATATATTCATGTTTTTACTAGGTAAAAATTGAAGTCTGTTTATTATATAAGCAGATGAAACTTAATTTGAAGAAGCATTACTCTACACAGGTATTTGAAGAAAAAAAAAGTGAACTAAGATGGGCAAAAAACATAAAAATGATCCAAAAAAAAACAAAACAACAACAACAAAAACTTTTTCAGTGAAATTCTCTTAATGCTCCCTTTGATTGAAAAATATCATGTTTGGCAAAAAAAAGATAGAAAATACAAAAGACAGACATCCAGTTTACATGTAAATCTTGATTTTGTATGCCAATTCAGTGCAAAAGGATTCATAAAAAGCATTAAAAAAAAAAAAAAAAGAAAGTCTTTTTTAAAAACGAAAAAACTAAACCTACTTCAGAAGTTCTCTTCAGCATTCTGGACTTTGCTACAAATCTTTGTTCTGCCTCTAAACGTTTGGCCTGTGGACTAGAATTCCAACTTTTTCTTTGATGTGGGGATGCCCCATAAAGTGTCAGGGAGTCCTCTGAAGTAGTCGATCCTGGACCAGAACGCTGAAAAAGTGAGACAAAAATGTAATGAAAAGGTTTTGACCTTTTTTACCTTTTTAACAAAGCAATGCAATAAAAGGGGCTCACAGGAAGACATTAATAACCAAGGCTAACTTCATGACCCATCAAAAAGTAGTGTATTATCCTGCATGACAATTAACATACAATTTTCAATGCATTTTCACTTCTTAAACATATTATATGATAATTTGTGAATAAAACCTCTCAAAAGCATAATTAAAACTCTTTCCAAAGAGCACTTTACACTGTAAAAATGAATTCTTTAGCTAGAATTTCTTTAGAGTTCAAGATATAAATCTGAGGATGAATTTAATTTTCTTACCATATACCTTTCACCAAAAATGGGGAGAGATTTTGTCTCTCTTGGGGAGTGAAGTCTTGTCTGGCCGTTCTGGAGCGTTTCTTGTGATGTGTGATGCAAAGGCACCCTTTTCACTTGACTTCTAGAACTGAAATCAACCAAATGACAAAATGTAGGCTTTTATAATGGTACAAAGTATCAGTTTACAGTTAACACTTCCGTTACTATGTCACACATATCTCAAAACAATTACATTTAACTCTAAATAACTTCAGAAGTTAAGACTGGAACAATCTTTGTACTCTGTTGCCACTGTTTACCACATACTTAATCTAATTAATGCCATATTAAATTTGCACTTGAACATCATTTCACAAAAAAACCAAGGCAACAGCTTCCCCAGATGCAGCTAATAAAAAGAAACAACCTCTAAACCATGAGAACACACATAAGTCATAAATAAGTAGTGTCACAGTTACGCATAGCACCTGTGAGTCCAAAAAACGGCACTAAAATTTGTATTGAATTTGGCCCCAGTTGCAACTACACAGGCAATCAATTTGACACTCCACATCACAAGCACAATGGGCCAAATGACATCCCGACATCAGCTTGTGATGGATTGCCTCCCCCACTGAGCTGAATCTAACAGACATGGGGGTCAAGGTCATGAGGTCAAGGGTCAAGGTCAAGTAAGGGTTACACACCTCAATGGAGTATGACGCCAACCTGAGCCAATTTATTGCAGCATACAACAATGGGGTATTGTGATGTGTTTGGAAACATTGTAGTTCAAACTGGTTGACTTTTTATTTCTATTGTAACCGAGGAACAATGTTGCATTGAATGCTGTAACAATGCTGCTAAGAAATTCCCTGGAAGTAATAAACTTAATTGCACTTCAAACTGTCTGACTTTTTGTTTCACTGTAAATGGGAGAAAAATGCTCCTTTTAATGTTACAAACATGTTGTGAAGAAACTGAAGGAATTTAATTGATTGTCCACTTCTAATTTGGTATACTGTATTGAAGTCCACCTAGACTGCTCTACATGCCACAGCATGATTTATAAGAAAGACCAGACTAAAATGACCTGCTGGACATACCATTAATAGACTGTATAATAGTTTCATCATCAATCCACACTACAAATTTTTGTTCATAATTAAAAAATAAAATTATTTCATTTTCAGTGGAAAAAACACACATAGGAAGAAAATGTATCACCCAAAAGATTAATAATATAATAAATGAGCCAATTCTTGCCTATAGATGCAAATTCGGACACGATGTACAAACAACGTGTCTTAGTTGAACGCAATAAAACTTCACACATTTCACTTTTCTAAAGGCTGCTGCCTGAATTTTATAAAAAAGATTGAACAGAATCAATGACAAATTACAGGGCTGATTATGCAATCGATATAACACTTAACAGGGATTTGGCATCATATAATAAAACGCTAGTGTAAACACTGAGTGAATTTAGATTTCAGACAAAAAAGTAATTTCAATGTCAATCAATCTTTCAGTTAAATAACTTCCTTGATTACTTGAAGAGTGAAGCTAATCAAATTTACCACATGCTGGGTAAAAAAAGGTGAAATACAATGTCTTTGTACATGCTAAAATGTGCATTAACTAAAAGAAGCATGTCAAACCCATTACCAGATGCCAACATAAACCAGCCTGTGCTCAGATAGCAAGAGAAGCTGACTGCATTACTTCATGCAGAGAAAAATTCAATCAAGGCCTTAAATATGCACGTAATGACAGGGCACAGCTTTCATGCTTTTCATTATCAAAATAATCAACAAACTGTTACAGAAGGTTTTGTACTAATTCTTCACACCATTCCATCTCAATCAAATAGCAATATCATTATATAAAAATCAGAGTGAATTTTTTTCAAGTAATGGATATTTATGTGCCATTAACTCTTTCTTTTTTATGTCATGCAGTAAAGAAAGCCAAATAACATGCTTGCATTTGCCAATGTTCTTGCCTGCTATTAAGAAGACTCTGCTTATAGTAGCTAGGGAACTGAAATTAAACATTGCTTTAAATATCTATATTAAATAATAAATTCTCTGTACTTACCACTTTCATGGTTTATCAAATTCTACAAAGTCACTGGTTTTATGTGGTTTTAAACACAAGCCTTCATTTCTCAAAATGCCAAGCACGCCTTTTTAAAGTAGCAAGTTCTTGAAGGTAAAATATATACTAGTATATAGCAATAAGCTAATATCTAATGCTGCATTCAAAATTGTTAGTAATTTCATTTTAGGCATCATATGTTTTAATTGATGTGCAAACTTCACAACTTACCCGAAGGAGTTAGAAGACACTGATCTCTCTAGGTTCTTTGCTTCATGATGATCAATGTTCAACTGCAATCAATCAATCAATCAATCAATCAATAAAAAATAAAAAATAAATAAATAAATAAATAAATAAATAAATAAATAAATAAATAAATAAATAAATAAATAAAATAAAAATAAATAAATAATATTTAACAAGAATTACAAATGTAAAAAATTATGAAATTTCCTTCTTTTTGGACTTTTAAAAATACGAGCAAATATATCCCACAGTGTATTTCTCAAAAAGTTCTACTAATTTCTAATAAAAGGCCTGACTAATTCAGCATCAGTTGAAAATCAAAATCACAAGAACAAAAATCCTACCGGGACAACAATATCTTGAATATATTCTGTCTCGCTGCTCCTCGTAGTTGCTGACAATTTGTGTGGGGCTGTTTTGCTCCGCCTGCGGTGCGATTTTGAGGGCTGTGGATCTGTTATGCTCCGACTGGTGTAGCTGTATGCAGGACTGGCTGGGATGTTTGATCGCAGCCGGATGTCCAGTTTACGAATGTGGTGGAAGTTGTCTGGCCCAGGGGTGACAAATTTTTGGTACATCACCCCTAGTTCCCCTGGGTACGAGGCTATGAGGAAAAAGAAGTAATTCATGTTGGAGTTGATTTACAAGCTATTAATCCCTATATTTTCATGTTTCTGTTATCTTGAAAAACAACCAATAACCGCAGCAGATAAGGTGAAAAATACAGAAAATATCATTATCCTACTTCATCTAATGGTTTTCTGGTTCATTTTGTAATTTTTTTCGTACGGTCTAGTTTTGAAAAACTTTCAATAAGTGCATGTAAAAGAAATATAGATTTGATTTAATATTCTAAGCAGGACTTGTAATTTTTTTAAACTGCATTCCCTGATGTTTGAGTGTACCTTGATGCTACAAGAAATCAAAATTCCTCAATTTAAAAATAGGAACCGAAAAGTACACAAACAAAAAGCAAATGGTTGCCAAGTGAGAATAATACCACTTACTCATTTTTGCTCCTTTAGTGCAAAAACCTCTCTACAAAATCCTTGTCAAGTGTTGACGGCCATCTCATGAACTCCGACTCCACTGCCTGCTATTCTTGGTCTGCTGACTACTGACTTGTGGCTATGTGAACAGTTATTTTACCTCCCTGAAAGAGTGAAGGGGAACTAAGTAAATATTGATAGTCTTGATCAAATTTGAAGAAGACTGAGCAATTAAGTTTGGATTAGATATATGAAAGCAGAATACACATGTTTCACGTCAGCATGATATATGTCTGCTGTGCATTATTTTTCAAAACACATTGAAACTGTTTCACAACTTTTACAGCGAGTTAGTATTTGAACTATTTAAATGGAAGAACCTTAAAGAAACAACAGTGCTAAAAGGACTCAATTTAGCAAATGAAATAATGGTCAATACTAATATTTCATTTAGATAATTGCTCTTGGTCATTCCATTTGATACTATTTTAAGTCATTAATAACCTAGACGTACTTAAAATTGCAATCAAATAATTTTTTTAAACAAAATTTTAAAGTAAACAATACCCCCTTTTAAGTCCTCTCGACCTCATCTCTTAATCCCTTCTTCACCACTCTTTTCATTAACACTCTCAAAATTCTACAGATTTTATTATATTTACCGAAAGCAAATTAAATGCTGATCAATATTTCTTTTTTCTATGGAGCTTAATACCCCTGTCAGCCATTTTAATGCTTTCGTTATCCTAACAGAAGTAGAGCTGTACTGTGTATATATACTGCCTGGTTGGCTACAACAGGTATGGAACGTAATTAAAGGTGATTCAACTATTGAATGGAGTCAGTCAAATGTCCAATTCCTAATTTTCACAACATCTGCATCAAACTGACTAAAAAAATAGCTGATTAATTTTCTCTTTCTTTTTTTTTAATAACATCAACAAAAAATGTCATCAGCATTTAATGAAAATTTTACATTTACATTCTCTGGTTGACCTATAGATACATATGAACATTTGGAAGTCTGTTAATTTATCAACTTCTCCAAGATAAAACAGTGAAGGTTTTTAGAAGTAGACTTGGTGGTCGTCAATTTTCAAATCTATATTAATAGGTCATTTGTCCTGTTACCAAGGTAAACAACACGCTATTGTCTGTGGCAATTACAACAAAGTACTGTACCTTCTGTCTAATACAAATGTATCTTAAATCAAAATTTACACACATAAAAACTAAATTTTCTATTCAAATACTTGCTAATAAAAAATTAAAACACATTCCTAAAAAAAAGTAAGAACTTAAATAAATGTCTCAGTCACAAACACAGTTAAACATAAAAAACACTTAAAACTCCAAATGAAATACAACAGTATTTGTGTCTACTTAAAAGTAACATTATATACCTTAGCCAACCCGAGTAAATCTCTACGGTAATGAAATATCACAAGTGATCTTCTATTTTTGGTACCTGATATATCATCAATTAAGGTGTATTATGTGCTAAATCCTTCCTCCGTCTGTTTGGTCAGTCGCAAATGCTTCACAGTCCATAGCATTAATATTAGTGGCCAGTTTCGACCTTTTCTGAACTATTATAAATATTTAATGGACGAAGAGAACATTCTTAAGAACATCTGAGAGAATGTTTTTATAGTAAATATTTGGCCATTTAAATGGTAGAACGTGAGACTTGAGATTTATTTAAGCCATGAACTCTCAGCCATGGAGAGAAAATTGAGTGTTTGTGAGTGAAATATTTCAGTTAATCCCTTCATTTCAGAGATCACATTTTAGTTTTCTTAGCATGGGTAAAGCTCTCTAGGCTGCCAAGGTTGCATATCTCATATAACCTTCCAACTCACTTATCAGCAATACATTATTTAATGCTTATATAGCAATAAAAGTTAAGTTGCTTTAACATTGAGAGAACCTGTCTTGGTGGACTTTCAGTGCAAAACAATTTTACTAGTACAATAAAATAAGCAACTGCAAATGGTTCATGAAAATATAAAGAAACAATGGTTATTCGTTTCAAAAAGGACACTGAATTGCAGGCTTTGAAAAGGGAAAACAAGATTGTTATTTTTTGGAGGAAATGGATTTGAATGGTGAGCAAATAAAAACAAATGAGGCATGAAAATTACAGCTTTTGTCCTGTTCCACCACCCTGGGTTTGAAGTAAAGCCTCGACTTACTCTACCTCTACAAGTTTTCCCAGGTGGCTATTTTTCCTGTCTATCTGATGCAGGTATATTTAATTTCTTTTGACTGTTCACGTAACTGATATGATAAAAATATTATACACACTCACGATAGAAAAAAAAAAAAAACTGATAATTTTCGAAAGGCAAAATGTGGGATGGGTGAGTCATACTGTCACTATTAATTCACTTCCCAGCCAAATAGAATATTCATAAAATCACTGTTCTCATGGCAACTCGCAGAACTTTAAAATTTCTTTTATTTTGGGTTTTCCTACAAGATCTTCACTTTTTGATCACAGTGAACTTTTTTCCCCCTTTTTTCTACTTTGTGACTAGTACTAATTAAAACTGCAAATCTTTTTTAACCTTGCAACTCAGGGTGCAGTTCATAAACACATTACCTGACCCCCAGGGTGGCACCCTGGAACATGGGGTCCTTGCCCCAGGTGAAAATATTTGACAAACAGGTGATACAAGGTATAAAATGCCAACAAAGAATGTCTATATAACCTTGCAAAAGTTCATTTCTACATACATGGAAAAATACAGTCTGGATCATGTCTTGTTATTGTGAAATTTATTATCATTTTTTCTGCATTGTTAAAAAAATTAAACAAGCACTATTCTTTATAGATTTAAGGGGTGTTTGTTTATCTGAAAAATAATCCTTTACATATAAAGAAATGTCTGTATTTAAGTTTACAGAGCTTTGCTTTCATTAACCTCCCTCCATCTCCTGATATTAATGCACTACATTTTATCATCCTAAATATAACTTAGCAATTTAAAAATAAATAACCACGACCAAGTATTTTACCTTTAAAAGTTCAGAATGTTTTTAAGACTCACCTTTTTAATAAGTAATTATCCTTGTCTGTCAAAAAGATTCCTTAGAACTTTTTGCATAATTTATTAATTTATATTTTTTACATCTGGGTACATGTCAATTCCTTCTGGCTGTAGAATATATAAGACGAATGCCAATTTTCTTAATAAAGTTTCCAAAGTTAACGCATTCCTAGTAACATTTTAATTACAAATCCACAATTTTTCAGTGATAAATTAATCCAGAAATCTTTTGCCAGTGGCTCTAGTGAGTTTTACAGAACATGGCATTTGCTTCTGCTGATTTCAACACATTTTTGAATAAATGCCCTCGACTCCTCGTTTATGTGGTTCATTTCTCACAGATGCATGCAGTAGAAAATTGTACCATGCCTGTATATATCCTTTACGTCAAAGTTCAATGAAGTTGTTCCTAAATTTATCAAATTCCTAAGCAAATGGATAATCAAGATCTATATTGTGCCAAAAGTTTTCTATTGGAAAATATCTTCTGTAAGCTTCATCTCAGTGAATCGTCTTCCAGGAGTGATCTCAAAATAATCCCTCAATGCTTCATTAACCTTTTCTCTAGCTAAACTACACCTTCGATAATATCTCTCTTTAAATAGCAACAACTCGGTTCAAACCCAATACACGTCAAGACGTCCAATGGGGTCCATAGCTAGCAACTTCATATAAGAGCCTAATCACACAGGCATTCGCCCAATGATATTAATTATTGACGGGAAATTATGCGCAATCTGCGAAGCCAATTTGTTTTTGCAAGCTATGGTTTCTAGAAGCTTATGTCACGCTGATTGTTACATTTTATGGCTGCGTTGAAACTCTTTAGAAATTTACCTGAATGCNAGGTTCAAACCCAATACATGTCAAGACGTCCAATGGGGTCCATAGCTAGCAACTTCATATAAGAGCCTAATCACACAGGCATTCGCCCAATGATATTAATTATTGACGGGAAATTATGCGCAATCTGCGAAGCCAATTTGTTTTTGCAAGCTATGGTTTCTAGAAGCTTATGTCACGCTGATTGTTACATTTTATGGCTGCATTGAAACTCTTTAGAAATTTACCTGAATGCAGGTATTGATCAGGCAAGAAATGTACAATTCATTTTCTTTGACTAATTTGGCTGAGAATGAGGTTTGCCTATTAACTAAACATTTGCTATTAATATGGCAGCTTGGACATATTGATATATGCCAAACTGTCATTTGCAACAGGACATATATTCAGAAAAACATTAGCCTAATTTGTCAAAACATTTTTACACCAACCTTTGAAAAAAAACAAAAAAAACTACACCTTACAAAATTCAAGTATATAACCTGGTGCATCCATTTAAATTGAGCACTTAATCTGATAGACCTTTTTTAGGAAATGCAGCTTGATTAACAGTTACAGTTTACTGGTGAACCAATTTTATAAGAACAGCCAAAAAAGTCGTATTGATATAACTAAGTAAAACTACTTTAACATAAGCCATCAATATGACTTTTTATATGCTAAAAACTATCAATAACTAAAGTTAGTACTAGTACCTTTGGTTAGGTAACACCAGAGGCTGACATAATTTGCAGACTAGGAATCATCAGATTCCATCAGTCTGATGCTACAGGTAGGACTAACTGAAAGGCTGCTCATCACGCAGACATTTATCTAACTATTAAATATCCCTATAGGCCCACAGCAAGATATGGTGATAGGAAAATGATAAGACAAATCAATCCTTGCTGTATGGGTGTCTCAATTACTCACCAACCTTATCACCTGAAGAAGATAACCCCCTTTCTGGCTACAATTAACAAATCCTATACTCAGTATATGGAAAGTGACAGCATGCTACTACTTAAGTACACTAGTGGGTCACTAGTAATGCAAATAGCCAAATGTATACAAAATCATAAAATCGCTTGCAATGCCCTACTACAAAAACAACCTTACTTATTTTCCACGAACTGTCAGCGAGGGATTGAAGGAAATAATTTACTAGACTTTTGAGTCATGACACCATCTGTGGCTCTCAGCATCACGGTTCACGCATGCTTTCATGTATGTTCCACCAGTCATTTGTTATGTATGCCAGTACCAGCATACAAGTTTTAGGTATAGGTACCATACGTTTTAGTTGGTAGTAGTACAGTAGTTGGTCAGTCAGTCACAAGAAATTAAAAATAAATATTTTTATATCATATTAGTTTCCTCTTTTAAGTTGAAATTCTTCTGACAGCGTGAAATATGAAAAAGTGGTGGAAGTATCTACTTAATAATTATTCTTGACGAGCATCTTACTTGCGGCGTGGGCTTGGGTCCATTGAGTTCTGTCTTCTTCGACTTTCTCACGACCACGAGTCGCATTATTTTAACCGAATTAGTATAGTTAGTCAATGACACCTACATACCACAAAACAGACATTTAATCCCTTAACAAAGCTTAATTAATATAATACACCATCTTGCATTTAAGTCCAGAAAAACTCTACAAAACACACCAGTTAATATAGAGAGGAGTTGTTTACCTGTCATCTCGCCATATTGCTCAGTTGCTACCTGTTCAAAATGGGAAACGAACAGCAGAGATACAACACATTGCGGTAGTTGAGAATGCATTTGCTATATATATGGAATTCTCAATTAACTCAACTGCATCTATCTAAATTGAGTCTTTATTCCAACCAGGATAAAAACTCTACTGGATGTTATGAAGAAAGAAATAAGACAAAAAATGTTACATTATTTATATCATAGCATTTATTACTGTCCTACATTTTATATCCAAGCACGAGCATTTTCACATAATGTTAAATGGAATATTATACATTTTTAGTATACATTGTAGATCCAAGGATATTCGTTGGAAAAAGTCATGTATATGCCATTGCAAAATTAAACATCACAATATTTGTGGAGTAATTAAAAAATTGTTTCAAATTACACACCAATGGTTTTAGACTATATAAATTCATTTGTAGATGGGGATAATTAAGAGAGATGGCCATGTATCAAAAGGGAATTTAATATACATAAATTCAAAGCAATTAATTTATTTAGGTGCAAAGTCTGACAGATTACAAAGCAAAATTTGCCTGACAAAAAGATTTCCTATTATTTAAACAAAAAAAAAAAAAAAAATCAATTCATCAAATCTACTTCTGAGTAATAAAAATACCTCATTGTGATACATGCACACATATAACAATTACACAGTCATGTGCATGTACAAATGTAGTAAAACATGTATCAAATTTGATTCTAGATATGCTAAAGCATAGTCAACAATCTCATGTGTCTGGCTTAAATATTTCTGCACACATCTTTATCATAATGACTGCATCAATTTTTGATCACCAACTGGTGTGATATAGAGTTACCACAATATCTGCCCGAGGAAAAAAATGTAAACATTGCAATAAATATCTTTAGCCTGTTTTGTGAATTGGTCATCCTTCTCTTGCACTGTATACATCTTGGTAATACTGAAATGTCTGTCAACATACTATACAAACAAACAACATAACTTAGGAAGAATAATCTGTAAAAATTAAGTTATTTTATATTTTGTCTATATCTTAGTGATATAGAAGATATGGGTAAGTTTCATCCATATAATGTCCTGCTTTAGTGTTATTGCTGTAATATGCAAGTTACAACATTGACAGACTCTTGTGATACTTGCATACACTTCAAAAAGGGGGGGCGTCTCGATATTCAGAAAGTTCATTGGTCTGAAAAATGGTGGGGTCATGTCAATACTCCCCCGCACTGTTACTCCCCCGCACCGATGCTCCCCCTGCACCATTACTCCCCTGCACCAACAATCCCCCTTAGTAATTTTTTGTGTATTATGCGCATCGATATGACCCCACACCGATAGATCCCCGCATCGATACATCCCCAGTAAATTGCCGATGTAGGCGCACCGTTAATCCCCCACACCGATACTCCCCCACATCATTGCTTCCCCGCATCGATACTGCCGGGGAGTATCGGTGCGGGGGAGTATTGGTGCGGTGATGTACCGGTGCGCGGGAGTATCTGTGCTGGGACGTATAGGGATGTAACCAAAATGATAACATTTTCTTCAGTTTTTTTATCAAGGTTTCATTGGTCCCAAGGTTTTATAGTGAACATTCAGACTATTGAACCTTCGGACTATTGCTACAGCCCCCTGTAAAAGAACAAATCATCAAACGTATTTAGAAAAAATCAATAAAAAGTACAAAATATTTTTCTAACAAATATTAAACCCTCATTACAAGACATTAGACACAGCCACTTTTAGTATGTTCATATATTTGAGATATGCTAAAATATCAGTAGTTGAACAAGAAAAAATTAAGGAGCAAAAAAGCCCCCCCTCCCCCGGATCACTCACCCATACACAACCATTGTTAATATCACCAGTAATTTACATCCCAGAGAATATTTTGCATTTTTTGATTGAGTATAAGCTGATATCAGACAAAGTTACACATTTTAAATGTCTTACTGTAATCAAATTAGTTCAAACTTATTTTGTCTTATCAGTGATAAACTTATAAACTGGAGGGCACTCTAAGAGTGCAAACATCCACCTATGAAAAAATGACCATTGGTCACATGACTTGAACATAAGGAGACCCAGATTCATTTGAAGTTGCAATCAATTCTTGAGTCCAGAAATTTTTATTAAAAGTTGTAAATTTTTTTCAAATTATCTTTTCCACTAACATAGAGGCTTATAGACAAATAAACTAATAAACACATAGGCAAACCAATGCTGATGAAAATATAACCGATTTACGTAGTTAGCCAAAGTAATGAAATAATACCAACAGCCCTATATCTTAAAAGAAAATAATGAAGAAGATATATTGCACCAACTTCCTTCCATAGAATTTCAATACCTCATCCATTAATTTTTTCCTCAAACAGTTTTGAATGCCAAAGAATGAATTGACATATATATATACAGTACACCATTCAAAAAGAAGCTGCTCTAGCCACACTACAATGTTCTGTAAAAAATAAAGTCAAAGGGACTCTACTAGGGACCTCTTGCCTTTCATTTCACAATTTCCTTTGTAAAAACCTGTATTCAAATTCATGTTGCATTCTTACAAAAGAAATAAAATTAATACCTACTCCTCAAAAGTTGCAAATTCATGCAAAGTGAAAATGCAAGGAATGCATGTAACCTTATTAAGAAATACATTGTTCAAAAACATATACATGTATACTGGAATACATTAGGCTCTGTTCATGACCAAGTCAATCTGCCAACTAACTGATCCACTGATCATATATGGCCAACCTTCTAGAAAACTTGCTGGGAATTCCCCATGGGGAAGCCATTAGGGGATTACATGGAAAGTTATGAAGTGGGTCAATCATATTTGATTCACCGATCAGTTAGTAGGCAGAACAACTTGGTAGGAACAGAGCCTAAGAATCTGGAAATAAAGAAAAAGTCAAAGGAAATTCAGGACACTTGGTACATATAACTATGATAAATACTGTTATACAGAATATCAAACTCAAAGGAAGACATTTATCAGATACCATAGACCACAAAACATTGCTAAATGTTTTTAAAGGCCATCTATTAGCTCCATCTTCAACTGATCTTGGACAAGAGACTTGACTGCACACATGAACTCTGCTTGCATTGGATCACTTGAATGGATGAGAGCCAGCAAGGCAATGCCATCTTCAATGGTAATGCCACTTATGATGCGCTGCACACGATCGTACAAAATTTTCTTTTTCTCAGGCTCCATTTCTCTTAGAACAGTGGAAACAGGTTTGAATTTGCCCTGTGCATTTGCATAGGCTGCAGCTCCACCTATAGCTCCTCCTGCAAAGTGTAAGGATGAATAAAAACAAACTACCCACAGAGTGACAACAATATCCTAATTAACATCCCCTCCCCCCCAAAAAAAAAGCTGTGTGTGTGAAAAGAGAGAGAGAGAGCACAAACAACCACTCTAATCATATTAAAAAAGTGTATATCAATTCATAACACAGTGAATGTCAAGAATAAGAATAAGTGATACAGACAGTGCTTTATGCTTACTATAAAACAGGGGCAGATTGAGGCTGTCTTCTGGGTCTTCAGGAAGACGGTCAGATATTCAGACATTGACAGGTATCTATATTTTTTGTTGGAAGATGGTCAAAAATGGAGGATGGATCAACCAAAATAATTTGGAAGACTGTCAGAAAATAGCTCTGGATCCGCCCCAGTAAAATCACACATGAATGCAAGTAACACCAAATTTGGAAGATTTGTTCTTGGAATCTGATGTGGTATTGTTGTGATTCAATTTGATCTCATAAAACACAAATAAAATCAACAGATACATATGGAATTATTATGGAAGTAACGTTGCATCGTGTCACCTAACATGGCACATTCTAGACTACTATTCCTGCTCTACCAGCTCACGTGATCAAGACGCACCACATCAAGGCACATATTACAATAGTATAAATGGTAGAAGGCAGACACACCACTTAATTGTCACCAATGTGCATGTGACATATTTATTCATATGCTTCACACTCATTCTGAACAAGTTGATCTGGAGATAAACAGATCACTGGATCAATATATAGCCAACCCACTTGTAAGCTTGATCCATAATCCCATAGGGGCCATTCAGAATAGACGATCCAAGTACTAACTGATCTGCCGACTATAAGTATGGCCTACCACACTTCAAAAGTGATGCTGCTGATTCCCGATGGTCTCCCCACCTCCACACGCGCCGTCACTGCAGGGGCCTAACAATTAAACCTCAGAGCTGAGTTCTAATCCATTTAATGGCCCGTGAGGAGGAGGGGAGACCATCGCGAATCAGCAGCATCGCTTTGAAGTATGGTCGGCCATATTTGGTCAGTGAATCAGTTAGTACTGGCATCATCTATTCTGAATGTCCCCATTGACCCTGAATAGATTCTCTGCAGGATTATAGCTTTCAAGTGGGTCGGCTCTTTGTTAGCTGGGGATCTGTTTGTCTGCAGATCAACTTTGGTTGTGAATGCAGCCTTGTATTTATTACTTACCTACAGCTAACCCCACTGGTCCTAACAACAACCCCCCTGCTACTGTAGTAGCACCAGCAATCAGACCACCTCTCAGTGCTTCTTGCACTGTCACACGGAGATTTTTTTCATCTGCCAAGTCAGCACACACTGCCACAACTTCATTGACATCCACGGGCATCCTAAGTATGTGGTTTAATTAATGTCCTGCTACTTCCAATTCAGTTATAGGATTGACTTTGCAGTTTATCAGATTACATCAAATGTCAAAATGTACATGTACTAGTACCAGTATTATATGGTCCTGTAATACACAAATGAAAACATAAATCTTATCAGCAACTGTTGTATTTTAACAGAGTACTACTTAAAACCACAATAACAAACATTAACAACATACAACCCGGAAGCAAAGGTTTTTTAACAAATAAATTTAAAAAATAAGAATTTAGACCATACAATAATCTCTGCAAAGAGAATAGCATTTATTACAAGCTCAGCTGACAACTGATAACTTAAGTTGATTGCTAGCCTCCTCAAGTGTCTACAATACATTGTGTAACAACATTAATATATCAGTAATTGCATAATTTATTTTTGATCATTTGACTCACGTATAATACTATAACGTGATGAACTGTACTATGTTAAAATATCATCAATTTCAGTATCATTATACGTAAAAAGGTTTGATGGCAAAATCTAAATACCTTTCTCAATGATCGGTTATCCCGACTGCAATGTTTTCTGTTGTAAAAACAACTTACATTATATCAAAGAATCGATGGACATCGTATTTTAATCCACTGGGGTTTTTTACAGTTTCGTTTTGACAGATATACACGATTGGCCTCGTTTTTGATATTACAAGCTACAAATATACAATACCGAAATCGAGGCTTTTATTCGGAAAATCAGACGGCATTCCGGGATATGTTTACGGCCGCCCTGGGTCAAAGTTCAGCTTGTCATGTGATGTAAACATGTAGCACTCCTGAGGCACGCCATGGAGGAACAATTCCGTCATGAATATTCATAAGGTTTTACCTTATTTGGAGTAAGTCTTTTGATATCAGCCAATGAAAACGTGGCAGATGTAAACGTAAACAAAGGTTTGAGAAACGTCAACAACTCGTATCGAAGAAGTGAAAAAATTGATAGTGAATTTCAAAGATTACAACACAAGTATCGTAACAAAACTTAGCCAGACGCGTAGAAAAGTATCCAAGGAACCAGGAAAGGTAAGAA